GGCAGGTACCCCCTGCCTCTCAGTGCTGTCTGTGCACCCAGGCAAGCCACCCTGTCTGCTCTGCTCTCTTCCAGCAAGACCTTCCTGTTACTCCAAAGCTAGTTCAAGTATTTCTGTGCACTTGTAGCCCTGGATTGTGTAGTTCTAGTCCTGTGTGCCAACTGCACAAAGGTCAACAGCTGAAAAGAGATTTATTAAGCTTTCTGCTGCTCCTTCAGAGGGATCTTCTTCACCCATCCAATACAACACAGTAGACCTTTTTGTATTTTGGTGTCATTACAGGTTCTGCTCCCTGTACATTCTTTTAAGGACATCAGGTGTAGGAAGCAAAGGGAGGAGATAAGTTTGATGTACAGTACACCCAGTTCATGCTGAGATCAATACTGTGATTTACTTAATTGGAATCTGAAGGCTCTATTTTTGACATAGAGTAACAAACTTTGGAAACCTGCCGGAGCAGGCAGCATGCTTCCAATTAAGTGTAGGCCAGCCCACCCACAAAACCATACTTTCCCTCACTTCACATTGATTCTTGGCCCTCCTTAAGTAGCAGATTTGACATAAACTACTGTTTCTCATTTTGACAAACTGAAACCTATAGCTGACCTGTGGTAAGCTGCACCTTAGGGAAAGGGCAGGTGCACGGTTAGAGCCCAGCCCCCCACAGACAAGGCTGGTGGATAATTTGGTAAATCATATTCAGTCTCAGACTGTGTTCTTTAATGCAACTGAAAATAGTAAGTGGCAGAAGCAAGATGAGAATTTCAGATACTTGGTATTTTATTTTTTATTATTATTTTATGATGAGAATTTTAGTGTAACTCTCTGGCTTTGTGCTTGCACATGAGTCCTTCCAAGTGCAATTTGAAGGTTGCCCTCAGGTAGGGTTGCAGTTTACCATTTGGAAACAGCCTGCTGCTGGAGGCATGAACTTCCACACCCTCCAGCGGTAGAAAGGGAAAGGTTCCTGCAGTAGATGGGCTTGGTGGTATTATTAAGTCTTCTACAATCAGCAAAAATTTAGTCTTTCTCTATACAGAGACAGCTGTGTGCTTTCCCGATTTCTTGGGCTCAGTGGTATTGCTGTAACTCAATTACTGTTTCTTCTGTTACCCTTGTTGCAAAATAAGGATGGAAAGGACAGAAACACTGAATGTGGCAGCACAGTGCTGAATAAATAGTATCTATGCCTAATCCTTCTTTCCATTAGATTAATATCCTCTGTAATAAAACTTTTGTCATTAGATGTACATCCAGCCTGTAGAATTAAGGTATCTTTAATGAAATGTCTTATTCAAAAACATAGTGTGGCTGTTTCTTGGGGAGACACCCCTGCTATTCTCCCCATAGCAGTAATCCAGCAGTCAGTCCCAAGTGATACAACAGGCATGGAAGGAAGCATTCTGTTGTTGAGCTGTGCTGTTCAGTCATTCTTCATCACTGAGGAAGACTAACAGTCTGGTGCAAAGTGTAATAAAAAGCAAAAAACCAGGGGATACCTGGTTTATGCAAAACCCAGCATAATCCAGGGGGATTTTTGTGAAAAGCCAGAACAGAGAAACGAATGCAAAAAGGTTCTGGTTGATTGCTGTATAGAAGGTTTTGCTGAAATGATCCCACAGGTGAAAATTTGTGATGTGAACTACTTTACATGTGCTGTATCTATTCCACCACTGCTGTGAAAACCTGGCTACAGCACCAGGATCCTTTAGCAAGTGCTCTGGTAGTGGTGAAAACAGATTTTTTCAAAGGATGGAAAACTTACTGTAGTAATAATCGCTGTGAACAGCCATGGGTATATTTTAACATCATCTGCTGGAGGAAGACATGGTGTTAGTAAGACTAATCTTCAGAGCCACACAGTGCAGCATTGTGAAGCCCACTCAGGAGAGATGACACATTCCCTTTGGTAAGCTACAGGGAATGGGCACGACTGCAAGTGTGAGACCCTGCTTCCCTCCCTTCCCCACTGGCACCTCTGTTCCATTCACATCAGCAGGAGCTCTGTGCAAAGATCAGAGGGAGGTTCTGACCTCCATTCTGTGCTTAAGGCCAAGAGTCCTTTAATGGCTTGGGATCCTGTAGTGTTGCACTTGGTGAGGGTCTCGGGATGAGGGAAAAGATGAATTTGACTCCATGTTTCAGAAGGCTGATTTATTATATTATATTCTAGAAATTATATATTAAAACTCTACTAAACTGTAGAGAAAAGACACAGAGAAGGCTAGAAAAAAAATTAATACTAAGCACCTGTGACTGACCAGAATCCCACAAGCTGGACTATTGTTTGTCATTAAGTCAACACAATTCACATGGAACTAATCAAAGATGTATCTGTTGGTAAATAACCTCAAGACCACATTCCAAAGCAATCAGATAATTACTGTTCACATTTTTTTTTCTGAGGCTTCTCAGGAGAAAAATCCTGGTGAAGGGATTTTTCAGAAAATATCATGGTGGTGCTGCAGTGCAGTTGGTGGCTCTCAGCCTGGAAACTGTGGGTGCCATGACACCATCATGGCTGAGTAGAGAAAATAGATATATATTTTTTCCTAAAAGATACATAAAAATGAATGTAGACTCCAGATAAATTCCAAAAATTGTAGTGGGAAATATTCTCCATTTCCTTAACAGTCAGCAGTTTTGTATACTGATAAGAAAATACCTGAAAATTCAGTAATCTTTGACATCTAGGGGAAATTAATACAAGACAATTTTCACAAATTTCTGTGAGATTCAGGAGTATTTAGTTTCCCTTCAGAAAGGAGATGTCCCATCAGGTACATCAGAAATTTAGTTGTCCTCACTGTGGTTTGGGGAAGGACCATCTCCATTGTAGACTTTAGCAGACCAGCATCACCTGCAGTTAGATTTCCACTGTAAGAAAGTTGAACTGTAAGGATTTTGAATGATCTGTGGGACACATCATGTGCTCTTCCCAAAGCCACCCCAAGCTTTTCTTTTTCCTTGCAGAGGGAAAAGAAATAGGTTTATACCCCTGGAAATTTGAAAAGGAGCAATAAAGTTTGTGACTCATATACCTTCTGTATACAAACCCAGTGCTTGCAGTTGGTTTTTAGAGGCATCACATTATAGATACCACATTTCTAACTATTTCCTGCATTTGCCTCTTCTGCAGCCAGTAGAGTAATGGATTTGCTGTGTTACCCAGGAGCTGAATGCTCTGCCACAGCAGCAGCTTTCCAGGACACTTGGCTCCAGAGGAGCTGCTTAAGGTGTTTAATAGCAGTTGTCCTTCACTTCTTATTCACTTCTGATGATCATGAATTGTATTAATTAGAATATTGACAGGTCACATGAATTTGACAAGTATTAGGTTGGTTCTCTGTAAAATTAAAGCCTAGCCCTGATCTTGCAAGCACATAAGTATGGCACTAACTTTGTGTCTGTGATCTGCTCCATTGGACTCATTTAAGTGTTTGCAGGTAGATACTTACCATGTTCTCAGTGTCTTGTGTAGTAAATGCCCTCTTCTGTTTAACTACATAAAGAAAACTGTTGGTTAGGAGGTTTGTTTTGTTGTTATTGTTGTTTTCTATGTGTGTATGTCTGGTTTTAGGCAAGTAAATTTGTTTTCTCATGTTTGGCAATAAAAAATCAGCTGGTCGTTTGCAGATGCAGCTGACAAAGAAGAGATAATGTATTGGAATATAATTTCTAATGGGTGGAAACTATGTTAGGCATCAGTGAAGGAAACTCTTCATTCTTACATCAGAATGACAGATGAGTGCCCTGAAGATCTATTTGTTTTTACAAATGGCTGTTTATAAAGCTAAAGTTCTCTTCCAGTCTTGAAAAGAAAATACAGAAAAATTGAAAGCAAACCAACAAAATAAGTTTAAAATTGAATTAGTTTTCATATTTTTAAATATTTAAATGGAATGTACAAAATTGAAAATAATGTTAAATTGTTGTAAGGTTCTATTTAATTTTTCTCCCGAGTCCTGTTTTTTAACTTTTTATATTTACTTTTTAATGTGTTCTGTATGAAGGAATGATTTAAAAACTCTTATATGTTTTGATGAGTATTACAACTGCAGGTTTTATGTAGTTTATGCTTTCATAACAAACTTGTGAAGTGAATTGTTTGCTGAGATTTTTAGAACTGAACACTATCTCATTATATTTGCTGCTGTTGTAAACTTGTATTTTCTGCTTCTGCCATAGCATTTTGCTGGGAATACCTGGAACTAATTCAGTGTGGCCACTTGGTTTCCTGGCTGCCACTCCTCTGAGTTTCACATTTTAATAGCACAGGCTTGCCCTACAAAAGCTGAAATATGAAAATATTTTTAAATATAAATACACATTTCTTAAAAATAAAAATTAGCACCGATTCCTTCTTACTGGAGCAATACTCCAGCCCTATATAATAAACAATGAAGAAGTCTGATGATACAAATATAAAAAAAAAAAAGAAAAAAAAAACCCTTGAAAATTGCTTCTGAGGCCCCTAAATTTGAACAATCTCATCACTGGAGATTAAAAAACTCCATCATTTGGATAAATGAAAATGGGTAATGTCTGCATGGAAGTGATGGGAAGCAGAGTTGCTATTACAATACAGGTAAGGAAGGGATTTTGCTAACTGGTTATGTATAATTGCCTGCTTTATGATTCCATCATTGAGTATCTCTCTGGCTTGGACATGTTGTTATGAAATGACCTCCAAAAGACACTGATAGTGCAAACTTTTCATGAAATCACATCATGGTTCTTTGTCGGGTTTGGAGGAATTTGTTCCAGTGTCCATTTCTACTGCAGGTGGGTTCAGTGCCGAGCACCAAAACAAGAGGTGGTGGCTGCCTCCCTGAACTGACACTGGTCTTATTCTGCCCCCAAAGTCTACACACTCAGTTCATACACATGACCTGTTCATATTTTATTTGGAATGCTATCACTGGAGGAAAAAAAGTGCCTTTTAAAGATTAATTTTGAGAGCATGCTGTGTAATAGAACCATTTTATTTGTGTCTTCAGGATGTTGACTTGAAATCATGTCGGGGAGCTTTAGATGACTGCTGTCCACCTCCAGGAGAGGATCAGCTGAAACTGCAAGAAGAAGAGGAGAAAGACAAAAATCAAGTAAGTGATTAAAAAAAAAAAGGGAAGAAGGGAAAACTGAAGAGGAAGTGAGGGAGGATACAGAACTTATCACTAAGATAAATAGGAGTGAAAAGTTTTGAAAGGAATAATTTATTTCCTCTTTTTATTTGAAGGGTTCCTTGCTAGGGGAGGAAGGGAATGTTCACTTCAGACAATGCCTTGTGAATGATGCCCTTGTACACCTTTTTGAAAACTGCCTCCACTATTTTTTGAGTAGTTTAAATATTCAGAGGTTTACAGAAAACACAACTATTTTTTAATTTGGGTTTGTTTTCTCTGTTCTGAAGGTGTTGTGCTTGTGGGCAAGGATGTTTTTGCCTACAAACACTAGAGACGTGGATGCTAAATTATACTGCTCTCACCATTTTTATAAAGCTTGATGCTCAAATGTAGAATTACATTTGGGACACTGAACTCTTCAGTTCTGTTCTCTCTAAGAGCTGCAGTGAAAAGAGCACTCAATTTTCTTGAGACCTTGTGAGAGCTGAGAACATCTGATCCAGTATCTTGCCAGCCTCTCTGTTTGCCACCTCCCTGAGAGCCAGGCTTTGAGAAAATACCTGATTTTTCCACACTGGTGGGCAGGTACAGCTTCAGAGGAGCCCAGTTCTGCTGTTGTGGGCAGAGTGGGGATGCTCAGGCCATGGAGCTGTTCTGCTCCTTCTAGCAACATGTCATCTCCCATCAGGATGAAGACTTGATGGTTGGGTCAGCAGCAGTATTGCTCTGTGCTCTGTTTCTTCTCAGACTTTGATTTTTACCTCCTTTTAGATAAAATAACTGCTTTACACCATGTTTCTCTTTTTGTCACAGAGCAACAGCAACCATGTAGATTCCCTTCTCTCCTTGGAGGGCTATTTACAGCTTCTGTCATCACAGGTGGAGAACATGCTAGAGGTAAATGAGAAAATACAGGTATTGCCAATAGATTGGAATACAGTCAGCAATTACTCTGTTTTATCAAATAAAACCACCACAGCCTACCTACCTGCTCTGGGAATTTACTGGCAAATCAATGTAGTAAACTTACCTGAAACTGCTAAAGATGCTACTGTCCACTTTTTACAGCAGCTCTCATTGGCTTTACTTGAAAAATTTTCCCCAGCAACTTCTTTGGTGTAAGAGCTGTGTCTTTGCTGTGATCTGGTGTTCAAAGTTGGATGGAGCCACTGGACAACTTGAATTAGTTGAACTAAGAGTTGCCTTTCTGAAACTTAATACCAGTTTGTATTTATGCAGTAGCTCTTGGTGTGTTTCTCTAGAGTAACACTGATTTATTACACATTTATTACAATTTATTTATTGGGTATTTATGGTGAAAGATTACATTTGTCTTAAATATTGGGTCAAGTGATTACAGGGTTGCTACTCTCAAGAACAGATCACCTTTGCTGCAAATCAGGTCAGTCAGCATTAGCAGTAAACCCATGTAGTGTTTTGGGGTTTTTTGTATTTTTACATCTTGTGGCCCTTTGATACTATATTTTACTTTCTGTGTGCCCATCTTCACAAAAACCAGTTGTTATCGTAATTGAAGTCTCCCCCTCCTCCCACAGCTCATAGCTGCAATTATTGACCATGAAGCTACTCCCTACATTCCTTTTTTGCAATACTTCAAGGGCATCTTACATACACTTCCCATCATAGGATCCTCTTCTGGGGTCATCAGTGTTCTCCATTTAACCATGCTTATCTGGTTTTGGCAATCTCTAGCTTGGACAGTAGCCCATAAATTAGCCTCCTCTTCTGTTCAGCTCTGGAAATGGATTGCATACTAACGAGATACAGAAGTTCATCAGTTTTGTTTTCTCTGTTCTCAGAATTTGAAAGCAATGTGGCTGTAGCCTTTATACAGCTATTACAATACACGGTAACATATTGCATATTTTATCTAATATCATTAAGGCACTGCCATCTTGTGACAATCTATCTGTTGAATATGGATTGTTTCTGCTAAGTATCAAGTCTTTACAGTGAGTGGGATTTTTTGATAGCTGACTTACTAAAAATCAGTCTTTTCAAGGGATTACTTGAAAATAGCATCTCTGTCTCACAGACTGCAGGTGGCCTAGTACAAGGTAACTCCCTAGGAGAAATAAGGCAAGACCACCTTCTTGTTACCTGAGCTCCCAGTAAGCATAATAGGGAACTGCAGATGTTCAGGTCCTTATGATACATTATTCCTTCCCTGTGGAAAGTGCTTTTTACATGTTCACTGAATGGCAAAATCAGAAAGTTCTTTCCTGAAACACAGTAAGGTCACTCAACTATGGAGGAATCCTATACACTTCCTACTTGATGTATTTACATTCTCAAGTACTTGTATCGATCTGTTTCATGACTACTCTCCTTGTCAGCAAGCACCTGACAAAATCTTGGACAGTTGCTTTGTGCTTCTAAGACCCAGCAACTCTAACTCAGGTCCTCAAAGGGTGGGCCTTAGTGCTACTACAGCATTACCAGTCCAGTTTATTGTTTGAACATCAGAGCTGAGGCATTGTGTATCAGCTTTGATTTTGTAAAAAAAACCCTGAGTAGTTATTTAAAGTCAAGACATCCACAAAAGGTGTGACTTGGTGGGGGGATGTTACCTCCAAACTGATCAGTAAAACAGTTCAGCTGAGTTTTGGATGCAATAGACTTCAGTTAAATGAAACTAAACCAAATGTGGCACTTCATATCCCTGACAACTTCATAAACTGTGAAATAAGTAGTGGGACTGCAAAAGGACAGTCTTAATATTCCTGTCTTCCAGTCTTTTCTTCACCACTGTCCTTACTGGTTAACTTCTGCAGATGAGCTATTTATCTTCTTTTAAAAGTTTGGTTTTTAACAGTGTAGCACCTTGAACCAGCTCACCCTTGAATCATCAGTACCACTGCCAGGGAAGGGTCATGACCACTCCTCCCAGCAGGATTTTTTTCTTAGATCAGATCAGACAGAACATGCAGGCCATAGTTTGTACACTTGCAATAGTCCCATTTTTACCCCCCAATCCTCATCAGTCCCACACTGTCCTTTGCAAGTCCTTCTCCCGATCCTTCAGTCATTTCTGCACTCTTCCTGCGTCCTTTTGCCATATGTCAGTACAGCTTATGCTTTATACAGATGGGAAAGAGCATTCCAAACAGCTGGAAGAAGAGTTTAACATACAAAAGTTTGGCTTTAATTGAATCAAGTAGTGGATGTTGAAAAATGTTTGTGCCTGTGTAGGTGAGGGATGCAGAAGCATTCATTTTATGAAAGATCTCATTTTTTCCTCCTTCATCTTTTAGGTGAACTTACTGGAAGATACACAAATTGCTACCTCTAGTAGAGGCCAAGACCCATCATCCTCACACCACAATATAAACTTGACCCAGACACTTCAGAACAGTTTCAGTCCTCCTGATGCCATGCTACTAAGAACAGACTACCCCACTCCATTAAATCCAAAACCAAGACACTTACAAAGGCAAGAGTTTTTCCCTCAATCAAACTCTGGTATCACAAATCCAGAATCACAATTTCATGGGTCAAATTTGACAGGGCTGTTTTCGGCTGCTGACCTTAGAAATCTAACAGCCCATGATGATAATTTTGATGAAATTAAGCTCATGTCTTTGGCTTTAGAAGAAGGCTTTAGTCCTATAGAAGTTTCTCAGATCTTTGAAGAGCCTGGCTCAGATTCGGGACTACCTTTGAATTCAAATCACAGCACCACCTCCTATTCAGTCTGCTGTGAAGATTCTGTTGGGTACAGCTACAGCAGCGGTGTTAAATCTGCTCCTTCGCACAGCTTAGGAGCTGTTGCTGGCCACTGCCAAGAAAACATTAAGCACAGCCATGTGGAATATCCAGGTGTTGCACAGGGTCCTACAGAAGCCATGCTTCAGCAGTTTCTTCATAATCACACTTACAATCAGCTGCCAAGTCAAGCAGCATTCACTCCAGAGCATCATCAACAGATGTGGATGAAGAAATCAAACGAAGTAAAGGAGAGGTACCACAATTCTACTGCTACAAACCGGAGCAGAGATGAATGGCGTGCAAAAGCTCTGAGAATACCATTTTCAGTCGAGGAAATTGTGAGCATGTCTGTTGACTCTTTCAACACCATGCTGGCAAAGAACCAGCTGACAGAAACTCAGGTATCACTTCTACGTGACATCAGACGAAGAGGAAAAAACAAGGTAGCTGCCCAGAAATGTCGTAAACGCAAACTGAATGCAATTCTTAACTTGGAAGAAGATGTGTGTAATCTCCAAACACAAAAGGAGAGCCTTAAAAAGGAGCACTCTCAGTGTAGCAAATTAATCAACCAGATAAAGCAAAAATTAAACAACTTGTACCATGACATTTTCAGCAGACTGAGGGATGACCAGGGTAGACCTGTCAACCCATGCCAGTATGTCATTCACTGCAGTAGCAATGGTAGCGTTTTCATAATACCCAAGCACTTGGCCAAATCTGAACAGAAACAAGATAACAGAAAAGAGCAGAAACAAAAGTAAGATGACTGGAGATCACCTAAATCACCTTCATTTTGTCTGAAAGGATGATAAGAGTATATGTGTGACAACTACAGGTCATTGATTACAGCAGTTCAAACAGAAACTACACTTGAGGAGAATCACTCTATGTTCAAGGGTCTGGCAAACCCAACCAGCTGTGATCTGTTAGAAGGTCCATGAGCTGAGGCTTCTGGATGAGGAAATCTGTTTAGTTTTAGTTGGAATTAAAGGAGCTAGACCATCAGTGTAATGTAGCTTCATAGACCTATTTTAAAACTAGGAATTTAGTTACTGGCAATGGGGGGCAGAGGGAAGAACATCAGTGAGGGATAAAAGTAAACTTTTTGAATCAATGTTAAACATGCAAGAAAATGTTTTAATCTTGAATACTTGACTTTTTATACAGAAAATGACCTTATTTTATTGTCTACCATGAAAGAAAAATTACAGTTCTAGTGCATTTTCAACTTAAACTCACTGTGCATTTACATAGGCTCAAGAGATAACTGCATGCTTTGCATTTATTCAGAACAGCTCTGCTTTTCCTAGTATTCCTTTGAGGAGAGCAGCCCAGGAGGCTACTGCATTTTTCCTCAGTACTTTCAGCATCATAACTCCCAAGTAAAGATAATATGCCACTTAATTTTACAACTCATACACTCAATCTGCAAACATGCTGAAAAAGTGTCTGATTCAGTGTTTTCTTACCTTTATTTTCTCTGCAACTAAATCATTCTCAATTTTCTTCCACAAAAATGACCAGTGATGAAGGAGTATCTGTTCTGTTTCCTAGTGACTGTGATATTTATTTGTGTACCTTCTCTTTTCTTCCTATTTTGACCTTCCTCAAGAAGTACTTGAGTTTTTTTCTGCGGCATTTCTAACTGATATTTTTTAAGTGTCTTTAATGTTTCAGATTTAAATTTTTAAAATACACATTTTACTTAGCCTTTAAATTAAGTTGAACCAAATTACTGTTTATCTGTACTAGTAATTATGAGGTTACACTCTGATAGTGCTCCAAATGAAGTTCTTTGGTTTTGAAATTTATTTGTGCTATTAGAAGTTTTAGTCGCTTACATACTTACAACATCCCATCCTTTACTGTTTTACAGCCTGAAAAAGGTCTGCAAGAGAGATGGCCTAAAAGGCCTGTAATGAATGATAACAGAGGAATGTTGAGGTATATTATGAAAGTAACTACAAATATTAATTTCTAGAAAACAAATACTTCTTGTTAATTTTTTAACTAAAACACATAAAACTGGTATTTAAAAAGTTCTCATTGGTCATGGCATGATGACAATGGAGCAAATTTACATTCAGGTGTGTTAAAAAAATCACTTGTACCAGCCAACTACATATACAAGCTTAAATGCCTATTTATACCTGCTGAAGAAATCAACTGCCACTAGCATGGAAGTCACATTGGCTGCTTGCATTTATCTGTAACAAACTGATACTGTCAAGTGACATTTTCTAAAAAGGGAGCCGTAAGATAGTGCCAAGTGCACTGAATTATCCATAATGAAATCAGACTGAACAATTTTCTCAACATTTTCTATTAAAATATTTCTTTAAATATTTGTATGCATGTGTTCTTTATTGGTTTCACCACAGTCTCAAATTGGTAAGTGTAAATTCATAGCAGAAAGTCTCATTACTGAGGCTATGCAATTTTTTGCTCTTGGTTAAGCATCAGTGTGAAACACGTCTATCCTAACTGGTATTCACATGGGATTTGTCTACTGGCTGCATCACCAACCAAAACATGCTATAGGTGTCAGATACATATGATGAATCATTAATTTTATTTCTAGTTGTAGGGGGAAAAAGTACAGCTTTAAGTCAGCATTATCATAATCAATTAAATGACATGAACATTTTTAAATCCACGTACTTACCCTTTGCAGGACAAGGTCTTTAAATCTACTTCACTGCCCATGTGCATAAATTCTGATAGCTACTACATTAGGCTCACAACTGAGAAATCCAGAAAGCCAAGTATTTCTGCTTTAGGGCCTCACACGGGGAGGAAAAATAAAAGCCTAAATTTTCTGGTGCACACTCCTTCAGTAGCAGTGGCAGGTGAGCTCTGTGGATTTTTGTAAGGCCAGCTGCTAATGGACAATTGCACATACCCAATTGGGAAACAGCTACACAGGTAAATTTTGCTACATGCCAAAAATAAAGCATACTGTAACCCTTCACGAACACAATGCTAATGGAAAACAGCTTATTCCAATGGATCCATTAAAGGCATCAGCCCCAATACCACTCCATTCCCTGTAAATGTGCAGGTTGTAAAGGATTGTGAACTGCCCTCAGCTAATTCAACTGCCATTATTGCCCAGTAACTATTTCTTGAACATTGATGGAAGAGCCTCAGTTCCTCAGAACCCAACAAGCAACTCTACTCCTACAAAAGACTGAGCTGAAATACTGATTTTGGGTGGACAGCAACAGTACTGACGATACAATGAACTTTGTCTGGATGTGTTTTTTAAACCACCAGCTACCTGCCTGCAGGACAAAACCATAGGTAGAATTCAGACCAATGTCCCGTTTCTAATTAGAGCAGACTCATTTGAAGTGTCTTCCCTTTCTACAAGTAGCCTGTGTTTAAAGAAAAATTCCAAACAGACATATACACATACACAAAATCCACACCGAACAAAAATTCCCAAACAGGGCCTGATTTTGGCTATGCTTTATAGTTCCATGTCCTTAAGTGATGTGTGGTTAGGCTAGACAGCTGAAGCTCTTAATGCACTTTTTGTACTGGCCTTAGACCATATTTGCAATCTCTGTACCAAAATAGACACAGTATAAAATTGAGCTTTTCAGGTAAACAGGACTGATCAAAGTTGTTGCTGAAAGGGTTGTAAAACGTGGGTAACACCTGACTGAAGCCTGTCTTGTCTTTATTATTGATAGATCAAGATTTTCACAAAATCAAAATCCCAAGTGTATAAACCATGAGCTTTATTGCGTGGAAAGACACGATGTGATATCAGACCTACTCTGGACCCAGATGACACAAGGACATTACAGCTGCATCCTACCTTACTACTACTCTGTTGAAACACAAGCCTGTGAAGTTAGACTGAAAACACTTTTTAAATATAACTAGGAAACCACTAAGCTAATGATTGTAAATATAGCTGTTGACAACAGCAACAAAAACCAGAAATACCCAAGTGGGGATGATCATTAAAATACTGGTCCCATAGCAAAGCTTTTAAGTAGTCTGTAACAGTCAGTGGTAAACTACATTTCTGTTATGTTAGAAAGAGCTTATCTGCAAGGTTAGGAAAGGTCAGATTAAGAAAAAGGAAAAACACTGGGTGGACTGTATTCCCATTATTGATGGCAGCAACATGTTCTCTGAAGCATTACCTGCTGGCTGCTCCAAGATTCACACCTGGTTCTGGAGGAACATCCACCAGCAGCAAAGGCAAGCAGAGTACTCCCATCCAACAGCAAGCGCCAGTGCCTGCTTTGTGCCCTGCACGGCTGGACACGCCCAGAGCCATCCTGCCACCAAGCGCTCCCAGAACAGACACAGCTTTCTGCTGAACCCTACACGCACCTTAAATGACCACTACGGTACTGCACTGAAGTGCAGCTTTAAATTCAGGGTTTAGGTTTTATTCAGTAGATTCGGCTTTTTACAGTGCCAAATTTTACAAGCTAAAGATGTTCCTGCTCAAGAGCTTACAATCTAGTTTTAGATGGGGAAAGCGGAACAAACTTCAATGAGAGAAAGAACTGACAAAGCATTTCACGAGTATCAACTTGTTAATCTTTGTCCCAAAACACACACACACACATTAGTTCATCCTCTGGGAGTCAGAAGTACAGTTCTAAGAATCTTGAGGACAGAGGTGATCAGAGACCTATAAATAAGGCAACAGGACACAGCACCAGGGTGTAGTGAGAAACTGTTTATTAATTAAACCAAATAGAGATGGCAGATGTAACCATGTGATGTCTTATTACTGTAGTGCATACCTCATGAAGTACTGCAACTTGACACCTGCTACACAGCTACTAGAACTCAGTGAAGTCCTCCAGCCACCCATTTTCATACAAGAATGCCCCAAAATTAACCTAACAAGGGGGGAGGGAAGAGCGCTGGTAACAGCCATTTTCTTGGGACTTTCCCCCAGTCACCTTTTTCGTACAATGAAGCAGCATGGGAGGTCTCACAAGCTAGTCTGTGACTACAAGATGCCCAAACACTGTTAACCCAATGTTCATAGCACTCTGTCAGGCAAGTCACACAGGTATTATTTATACAATGGTAATTTTACTGCTATGAACAAACCAGTTCTTGCTCCATTAACTGGAATAAGTCCTGACAAAATTTCTGTACAACACAAGCCAACAGTAGCTGCAAAGCAAAAACATGACTAGTAAAAGGGACAGTACTTCTGGCAAAATGGATTATTACCCAGGCAAACCCTTCCATGTAACACTCCTATGCATTCCTAGACACACTGAATGGTATGGCTGAATAAACATGGCTGAAGAGAAACAGCAATCTCCCTTACATCAAAAAGCAACAGCACTACTATAGTAGTGTTCACTTGCATCACACACTACTTCAAAAACCAAATGGAACACTGAACCTACAGGGAATGCACAGCCCCAGTATGTTCCCAACAAATTATCCTCTACCAATGAGGCAAAGCTGCCAAAAACAAACTCAGTTGACAACTGTTTGAAAATTCAGATTCATTTCTGGCGCTTGGGTTTTCTTCCCCAGAATCAACATGACTTCATCACCAAGAGATCATGTACATTCATCATCCATCTAAAAGAACATTTTCCTACACGTGACAAAGTTCAAGTCCTGTTCATTTTACAGTATTAACAGCAATTGTTCGAATTTTCTTGAATGTTTTCTAGCACCCGCAGCAAAATAGAAGAAAAAAATTCAACTTTCGTTGTTTGTAACACAAAATCTGAGTGGCCAGAAGCCTACTGCTGACCTCTTTTCCCCATCACTTCATAAAACAAGTCATACTCGATTTTTGGGTGTTCTTTGGCTCACATACTAGTTAGCAACAAGTTACATTGTTTTTCTTTCTTCCCTCAGTTGGCTGCACAGAGTGTTTGCTGGGGGAAAGCTGGACAACCTGACAGCCTGATCCTCAGCTGTTAGTACCTGGAAACACTGCAATGTTACACTTACTTGGAAGACAAAAATCTGTAGTGACAAAATCCCACTTGACAGAAAGTAAGAATCCATTGTCTACAAATTGATGACCAGTAACAGACCACACAATAATGCTTTTATTTGAAGTTGCTAACTTCCAGTATCAGGTTGACTCAAAATTGTGACTTCTCTCACCACATTTGCTGGTGACCACTGCTGACTGTCACGTGCCTTAACTTTTAAGACCATACCAAGAGAAAAGTCATGGGAGCTCAACAGAAGGACATCAGGAAACTTAAAGACACCAGGTTTTCAAGACTTGAAATATCCAGTGATTTAATTCTTGCACAGTGCTGTTCCCTCTGTATGCTCCCTTCCCCCACTGCCATCAGATCAAAATGAGAACATCCTCCTTATGGAAAACATACTCAATGCAAGTAAATTTTAAACCTTGTTACTACACTACTGAAATAGTATTTGAAACAGAAAAATAATTACTGCCCTTTGAAGTGGTTTGGTTAGTTTTCTTAAAACGGTGTATGAATGTAGACTTGGCAACTGTAAAGAAAAAACTTCCATCAACTACATCTAAGTTATAGGAAAGAAGGCAAATTCCTTATGACCTGGTCAGTCATTCTGTTGGAAAGAAGAAAGTAAAGCAGATTTGTGCGTCTTCCATTGCAGGCCACCGGTTACCTATTCAAGTATTTCAAAGTTCAACTTGAGAAACAGAAAAAAATGGTATGTGAATCCTTAAACAGTATTATAAAGGTTAAAGACATGATGATTCTGCCAAAGCATACACATTTCAAGTTTTGAATGAACCATGCATGAAGGTAAGTGGTTAAAACAGTATAACCTCAAGATACCTCCCCTTAAATACACTCCCAACTGAAGCTTTCTCAAACTCACACTTGGTGTTTAATGGTTTTGTTTGGTTTGGTGTTTTTTGTTTTGGTATTTTCCTTCCACCTCCAGATGCAGCTATGGATAATAGTTTTGTACAGCTGGAACTCTACATTCCAGTCAGTCTGTCTGTCTTCATGCTAAAAGCTCTTTCAAAATGGAAAGGATAAAGCTCTTGTCCTATTGCAATCTGACAAACTGACTTAGGTTGTAGTTTTGTTAACAGCGAAGTATGAGGTAATATAAAACACAGTCAAAAAAGCTACCTCACAAACTGACTTAGGTTGTAGTTTTGTTAACAGCGAAGTATGCGGTAATATAAAACACAGCCAAAAAAGCTAGTTTTAAGCACTTGTGTCCAACAGCAAAGACATCAGCACTTTTCAATTTGCAGCACTGTTTCTCCCAAAAGAGAACAGATGCCCAAGGTCAGAGAAACAAGTTCCATGAACACACTTGTTGAACTGATTCTGTTTTAAATTCACCTCAAAATGGAATGTTCCAGATCATGAAAGGGTCTAAACATAAACATTATCTAATGTTAGATACACACTAAGTTTTTATTAAGCATTACACTAGAACTACTTTGGTATAAAAATACTTTATTTTAAAGCTATGAAAGTTATAAATAGATGTAGTTAAACTTTCTACTCACAGAATGTTTGCTATTTTAACATTAGTGATTTGTTTCTCCTAACGAATCTGAATTTTATTCGAAAGGTTTACAAGACATTATTACTGTAATTTTTTAAAAAACCCATCATTACAGGGAGCTGTACTAATTGTGATGTTTTATCAGTATTCATTTAACCTCTAGATTTTTAATGAAGGCAGCAAAAACAACTATTTTCTGATGATACAGAATTTCTTATTTCTTGAAGCGTTTCTGTGGTTGACCACTTCTTCATTAGTTACCTGCAGCATGGCACCTTCCTGCCAAAGAAAAAAAAAGTGTATCTGAAGATGTTTATCACATATGTCTAAACCAAATTACCAATAGGGGAACTTCAGCCATTTTTAAAAAAAAAAGTATAAGCAGTTCACTGGTGTGTCTAACACAAAAGGAACAGGACTTTTGTTAGCTGAGTCCACGTTCTTCAATGGGTAGCCTTTTAGAGGCAATGAACTTTGAAATTAAGGCATTTTTGGTTGCCTTTTCTTTGATAGGTTTTGTTGATTTTTATCAAAACCAAATCTTGTAGAGTATGCCATCCTTACTCTGAGTAACTCACTCATTACTTGATAAATTTCCATCAATTTGAGGTGCAAACATTCAATGCAGTGAGAGTAAGGCTGACTAAATTTGGCACTAAGGTTTGTTAGCTGCAAGAACTATAAAAAATGGTGGAAACCTCAACATTCTAGCCAAATTCCAATTTACATAAATACATTGTACACTTATGGAATACCACCTGCAGTTTCATTTGAAGGTTTCACTTGCCCTCCTAAAGAACTGCTTATGCAGTTGTTAAAAGAATGGACGACACATTCCTTCACAGAGGCAGATGTATTCTGTGGTGAAATTTTCCTTACACGTAAACACTCTACAGTTACTTGGGAACCTTCAGGATGAAATGTGTTATATAGAATAGATTACAGCAGACAAGACACGTAACAACATAGTTCATTTTCAACAGCACAGAACTACCTTCATTGCATTACCTTGCAACCACCATAATGCATAGACTCCCAAGAAAAAAGAAAATGTTGCAGGATGCAAAAATAAAGTTGTATGATTTAATTAACTTGTGACCTACCATTTTAACTACCAACACCAGGGATGGAACCCTTGCAAAGCTTTACTAATGGACACTTGCAGGTCTCATTTGTTCAACTGTAGCAGTGTACAGTGGCAGCAGTCTATGCTTGTCCAGGGTTCATATCATAGCTAGATTCCAGTAGGAAAAAAATATGTTAAGTAGCTGAAATTAACAATTTTTTTGTAAAAAAAATTTAATACAAGAAAACAGGATTCACAAGTTTCTTTTCAATTTGTAATTGTTAATTCATTGCTATATGTTAAACTACATAATGATAATCACTATACTGAAAGAATACTGTCATACATTATTAATTTCTTGGGTTTGAAATATTAAGAAAGGAAAAGTAAATAAGATCTTACCTAAAGAAGTTTAACTGAAGCTTAGAACTATTTTGCTCTACACCCTCAGCCTTCGTTGCCATCCTTATAAACAATCTACCGTAGTTAAAGCTTTGCAGAGATACAGCACAGCTTTTTAAGACTGGCTGAACTTTTAGTGACGTTTTCAAGAGTTCTCTTGTACTAGACCTGCGTCCCTGGAAGAGTACCTTGGGGTTTTTTCCTTTCCTTGCCATTGAAGAAGCAGCATCTAAAAAATCTAAAAAGGTGTTTCTCCTTGCAGAGATACCCCTTAAGTTACCTAGATATTTTAAACCTGGTCATTTACAGACAACATACTTTTTCTCACCAGCATTTAATTTTACACGTACAACAATAGCTTTGTATTATTTGTGGGACCTTATACTACCCACTCCTTGCCTTATTTACAGTATTAAAAAAAAAATCTAAAATTACACAATATTTCCTTTAGAATTATTTTATTAAAATCATAAATGTACAACAGCTTCTTAACTCTACACACGCACTTAAATTTTTAAAAGGAAAACGTTATGTCTTATTACACCATGATCCTGGCTAAAAGCTTTTCAAAACTTTGAGAAAAATCTTAAAAAAGGTTTCACATGTCACCTGAAACTTACAAATTTAACATTATCAAAGGAATGCTTCTACACTTACAAAGACCACTAGAAAGAAACAACAATTAAAAAGCTAAGAAACTGTCTCAAAGGCATTTTTACAATCCTTCCTCCACAGTAAGGTAATGTTATTAAATAATCCAAATCCATTCACAAAATGGCTCTCTGCATCTGCTCTGGTGTCTTCTGCCATATCACTGCATATTTATGCATGACTGAGATAAGTGTTTCCTTAACATTGTTATTTCGATAACCTGAAGCTGTTCTGTTACCTCTGGGCTCTCATCCTCTCCTATTTATACAGTGAAGCCTGTTTCAACAGAAGTAAAGAGTAAAAAAATAGGTTATGAAATTATTCATCTAACCATTTTTTAAAGGAAAGATAATATCCTAAAAAGCTTTTAACTCCTGCAGCTACTCTCAAGAATCACTGCAATTTTAACACTTAAAAACATACTTACCCATGGCATGCTTGAAGAAACTCAGTAACGGCTCCTCCCTCCATATCCACCACTTCCTCCACTGCCCCCGGGACCATAGTTTCCTACAGTTGCAGAACAAGAAACAGAATGGTCCCATCAATACATTTTTAAGTCTATGAAAGTTTTTGATTGAAGAAATCAATCAAAGCTTGACTAAATCAAGAGTAACATCTGCTTTACTTCCAGTGACAGCATTTGCAACACAGACTTCTAACACTTCACTGTCTTCCTCTGAAAAACCTCCAAAGACTACCACAGGAAGCAACTACATGCTGAAATCTTAGAAGCCTCAACAGTGCCACATGTAATTCAATGCACTGTGCTGTCTGAGCCTGTGAGGGCTGAATTTGCTTGCAGGCTAAACCTTACAAGAAAGGGCTTCATGTTTCAGTTTCCATTTCACAAGCCTGATACTCCATATTAAGTAACTTTAGAAAACAAAAAGCAGGATTGTCTCAGAAAAAAACGACACAAGAGGAGGATAAAAAGAAATCACAGCAAATATGATGGAAATTGAGTAACTAGACTTTCCACAAATAGTGTGAGCTGACAGCAAAGAACGTGAAATAGAATCTTTAAACTACAAATTACACAACACTGGAAAAAGTTCTATGTTTTATCTGTTCCAAAATGATAAAAATCGATTTCCCTGAGACAAGCTTCACAGTCTTGAGACACTGAAGCAAACTTGCAGAAGAACAGGATCTGCAGTCCATCTACTGCAGAAGTTACCCAATTCCTACATATCCACCTTGGAATCACAAAGAATAACCTGGGTTGGAAGGCACCTTTCAAAGTCACCGCGTTCCAACCCCTCTGCCATGGGCAGGGTTATCTGTCACTAGATCAGGATGCTCAAAGCCCCTCCATGAACACTGCCAGCAATGGGGCACTCACACCACCTCTGAGCAACCTGTTCCAGCACCTCATCACCCTCACAGTAAATTTTTTTCCTAATATCTCATCCCAGTCTACCATTTTTTAGTTCAAAACAGTTATCCCATGTCTTCTCTTCAATTTCCCCCAAGTCCTAGAAGTCCACCCACTCCAGCTACAAGGAAATACACAGGACATATACAATACCTCCACCATATGGTCCCCCCATGTTCCTGCTGCCACCAAAATTTCCACTCTTCATCGGACCGTAATTTGAAGGTTGTTGGTTGTAGTTGCCAAAATCATTATAGTTTCCACTTCCGTAATTGCCTGTGTTATCAACACAAAAGTGGAGAAATACCTACATGAGCTAAGATGAATGCAACACTCGAAGACACCCCATTATAAAAGTTCTAAACAAAGTACAAAATCACACATGTATTCCAGCGGTGCATGCACCAAACAATGTTTTCGTTCTATTTCATATTACTTGAAAAACAACAGCTTCCTCGCACATTTCCAAACAACCCTCCCCCCAGTCTCAAATGACTTGCAGTAATTTGTAACTGAAATGCTTGAACACTAAGCCTAAATGTTACCTCCTCCATAGTTGTCATAACCACCTCCATAGCCCCCACCCTGGTTGCCATAACCAGGTCCTCCTCCACCATAGCCTCCTCTTCCTCCTCCATAACCAGGACTGCCACCGAAGTTGCCACCTGTGAGAACATAATCCTTTTAAATGAACTTTTCAATATAAAATGCACTCAAATTACACACAAAGAATGTCTTTCTGCTTAGAAGAACAAAGAGAAATAAAAAGGTAGTTTTGTAAAGGAACTCTATGGACAGTATTTTTTAAAGCACATACCAGCTCCCACCCTAACTGAACTATGACCAAATCCCAACAGTCAGACTGCCTAAAGACCTCAACTGACAGGCTTAATTAAAAATCTTCATTTTCCAGGAAATTTAGGACCCACTCTTATCCTAAAGAATGCTTGTCCAAGAAATAACCATACAATTTGACATATGGAATTTCAACATAAGCCAACAACCATGTACATTTCTTAAAACAAACAAAATGGCTCAGGTAATTCAGATAAATTTTATACATGTGGATATAAATATGAAGTGTTTCTTAAGGAAAATAAACACTACAACAGCAAACTAACCTCCAGGTCCTCCGCCATATCCATTATATCCATCACCAAATCCACGACCACTTCCATATCCATCTATTGGGAGAAAAAACCCCAAAGGATTTCAATTTACCTGTATGAAACTAGTAGAATTCTCAAACTCTTATGACCTTAAGAACTAAATCTCAGAAATTATTTATTAAGAATATGTACAATTAACTTCACAAAAATAAAGCTCAACATCCAATCACTGCGCTACATTTTTCCTTTTATTGTGTTTGTAGGGTACTCAGTTTTAAAATGTCAGGCAAATGCTGCATAGAACCAGAGAAATCTCTGACCTTTTCGGCAAATAATTAAGTTTAGATTACTTTTAGCTTTCAATTAAAGGTAAAAAAAAAAACCCAACCACAAAAACACAAATAAAACAAAACAGAAAAACCAAAACACAACTTCATTTGCAAGTTACTTTTCCCAAAAATTCTCTCAACTGCTACAGGTGCATTTAAGTTAAACAGCACCACAGCATACAAAGTTATCCAGAACCAGAAAGACAGCATTAATAAGGTAAAAAATGTAAATGCTACAAACATGCCTGTCTTACCGGCTCCCCCTCTGAAATTGCTGCCAGGTCCGGGACCGAAGTTGCCACCACCTCCACGAGCATCACCAAAACCGAAGTTCCCTATATCAGTTTAACATTTTTAAGTAGTGAGATTGTGAAAAGTGAACACAAAAACCAATCACAAACTATTAACCACTGTACCTACCTCCTCTCCCACTCCTAGAA